CAACTCGTATAATTAGTGGGGCCCCTTGGGACATGACCGCTTCTGTTCATGACCAATTCGGGTCACGAACAGCACTGTTCGCAAAATTTTGCTTCCGTCCGCAAACTCCGCATCGGGTGATGAACAGGATCCGCAGCCATTTTCCCTGCTGTGACACATGGTCGTGGGTTCCTGTAGGGAGGGGGACTCTCCCTCCAAGCAATAACCACCTCCCCACCCGCCTTCCTGTCCTCCACGCTCTGTTCATGACCAATTCGGGTCACGAACAGCACTGTTCGCAAAATTTTGCTTCCGTCCGCAAACTCCGCATCGGGTGATGAACAGGATCCGCAGCCATTTTCCCTGCTGTGACACATGGTCGTGGGTTCCTGTAGGGAGGGGGACTCTCCCTCCAAGCAATAACCACCTCCCCACCCGCCTTCCTGTCCTCCACGCCAGAGGTCGCCTCGAGCAGGGTTAGCGTTCTCTCTCTTCGTACTACACTGTACTGTATTTTGTTTCATATTTTTGTGGTTTTAAACAAAAACTACATCTGGTTCAGAACGGATTAACCGTAATTACATTGAACCTTATGGGAAAATTTGATTCGGGTCGCGGAACGAATTAAGTTCGTGACCTGAGGTACCACTGTATAGGCAGTAGTTTAGTCCTAAGGCATGTATACACCATCGTAACCCCTGTAGAATAGTCTTGGAAGCAACCTGTGAAGTTACTTTAACATGGACGTTATGCGTTAAGTTTGAGGCATCCTACTTGCTACTTGTACTGCCACATTACGCCTCACAAAGAGCATATAACAATAATTGAGCACTGAGATTGCCAGTGTACGAGTCACTGAAATCTGGATACTCTCCCATAGGTAAGGATGCTGTTGGTTTATCAGAGGAAGCTAATGAAAGGCCTTCTTTGTCACTGATTTTATGTGGCTGCCAGCATCAGTGCTAGATACAGAAGGACCCAGATATCAAGCCTTTAAATTAGGCAGGAATGCACCTTCAACCAAAACAGGCATTTCTCCTAATTCCTGAAATTCAACCCCTGGAATGAGTAACCACTCCTTCTACTATATTAATTATCTCAGTGATGACTGGCAATGGGATTATCCAATACACAAGTAGTGGTACAAATAGTTCCAAGAACTTTACCCATTTCTTCAGGAGACAAACCATAAACTAATCTGAATGTCATTAAATGATATTGTGGATATCCTAGGCATAGTATCGCTTTCAAGCCCTACATGAATCTGAGCAATTCTGTTTTGAAAAACTACTCACATTGCTCACGGTGGAACTCAGATGGAAGCTAGAGCCACTGAAGGCTCAGTGATCTGCCCAACAACCTGAAAGAGCGATCTCAGGCTTTTGGCTGTAGGTGCAATAAGAGAGGAGATCCAGTGCTGCTTCTATTCTCTGTTTGCTTGATAGATCTTAAGATAAGTCTGCTGATTATGCTCTTGGACCTATGCCTTAAGCGCTTAGGCCACCTGCGATTTCATTTCATTGCTTGTAGCTGTTTTATAAAACATGGCATACTACGTGCTCCAACACAGGTCAGGGGACACTTAGGAGCCACATATCAAGAACTAGCAAGACTTAGTATTCCATGTCTCAACCAAGCTGCTGATAGAATGGCTGGCCAGGTTAAAAAAAAAAATCCCCCAGAACTGCTTGGGCTCCAAGAGGATACATCACCTTCTGTGTATGTCCCAATCCACTTTAGTCCTTGCCCTTGAAATGGGAAATGTGCTGCAGCAGACCAAATCTTACAGGTAGTGGTTCATCCATGGAAGAATATTATTGCTAGGCTCCTTGAATTTGGACTACTCCCTTTCAAATAGAAGACATATTGAAGATATGAGCTGCCTCATTGGTAGGCACTGAAATAACCTGTATGGAGTTCACGGAAGCTATAAAATCCTAAGTGGCACCTGTTAAAGCAACCACAGTAGTAATGTTGAAGTCTTCACAAGACCTAAAGGTATGGGAACTCCATTACTACCTCTGAGTCCACTTATATCAGCTTTAGTTAGGGATTTTGCGAGGTGGGGGTGGGGGGGCAGCCAGTCACCAGCAGAATCTCTGCTTTCATTTGACTACATATTCAAAACAAGGTACATATACCATCAAAGCTAGTAAGGCCCCAGATGTGGACCTGGAAAGGAAAATGTTACCCTTATGAACTATCATAACATGCTTCTTTGACTAATGGAACTGTGCTACTCCTCTATGGCATAGCCAGCTGGCAGTAAATGGACCCAAATAGGCCCCTCTGCTATAACCTGCTGTGACTCTACAAACACAGATAAAAGGCCCTTCATAAATGGCCACAAATGTTATCATGTTTTATTAGAAATGGACCCCATTTCAACAAGATAAATGCCAAGAACTCTGGTAATTTGATCTGGCTTCCCAAACTACCCTAGGAGAAGGAAGGAACCAACCATTATCACTGAATGGGTGTTACCTTTCTTCACAGTTATGCCTCTTCCCCTTCCATTATATCTCCCTCTTCTCCATACTGCTGGAAGAAAGGCACCAGGACAACTAGAGGAAGATAAAACACACATACCCATTAATAAATTCCTTCTCCTAATACAAACTGGTACAAAATGTGGTGCGGACTGGGGAAGGGAAATGGGACAAACAGAGGCACATAAAAAAGCAAATTAACAAACAAAAAAGATGCTAAATGAGGGAAATCCTCAACCTTAGACCTTATTTATAACTTTAGAAACCAAACCATAGTCACCGCACCATCTCACTAAACTCTTATGGATGGATAGATCCACCCATCTATCTGGGTGGATAGACTGCTTATCCACCCAGTCCATCTGTACAGAGGTGAGTGGTACCCACAGCTCTGGTAAGCATTTGCTCTAGTCCATTCATCCAACCAGGCATCCCCTAGAGGACGGATTAAAAAACAACTTTTGCCAGGTATCTCAAGCTCCCAGCCTGGGACAGCCCAGCTATCCCTACTATTAAGTTTAGCTTACTGCCTGCTCCACACTTCAGCTGTATATCTTACCCTCCATTTCAGAGATCTCCAGGGAAAGTAATAAAAATTTTCAGGGTGTATGTTTTTTTACCCAGTTCTCTGATGGAGTGAAATTGTAGTCCATACATTCTGGAAGACACCAGTTTGTAGGAGTCTGCTACAGACAAATGATGAGATAGCATCATTGTTTGACCTTTCCCTTCCCCATTATTATCTCTTATGGATTTTTTTCTCTTTTCCCTCTCCCCACTAGGCATTCTCTGTTGCGGCAATGTCTGGGCATGGACCTGCTCTTCACTCCACTGTGTCTACTCTCAAACTTTCCCCACAGGCTTACCAAGCAGCCATCAATCAGTCTCCTCAGCCTAGCTCCAAGCAAGATTCCTGGAACAGCCTAGTCTTAGGGGAAACACATGGAGACATCATCACAGCTTAACCAACTTCTGCCCCCTTCACCCTCTTCTAAGGGGGTTACCAGGCCTGGGACTCAAAGGCTATGGGCAACAGTCAAGCAATGCCATTTGTTCTTTTTTTTTTTTTCTTGTTTCTCCCTCCCACCCTTCGTTTTGTCCAGTTCTGGTCTTAGAAGAACCATTCCAAATTGCTTTGGCCTGCTCATGGCCTAGAATCACAGCTGCCTTAAATACTGTCATCAAAACTGCCAAGTTCTCTTTAAGAAATGCTCTAGATAACTTGGACATCAATATTACATGTTTATACATAATCCTGGAGAAATGTAATATCCCATGGTATGTTTGTATACGTGTGTGTAAATGCGAAGGGTGTGTATAAGTGTGAATGCAAATTTGCAACGGCAGCTTTCCACATGTTCAGTCTTCAGTCATCTTTTGAAAAATGGAGGAATGAACATACGTGTATGAGCCAGCCCATAAAAAATAGAATGGAGATTTTTAAAAGAGAGAGAAAAAAAGTAAAACAAAAAACTGGTCATATATAAACCAGCAATATCCCTAAACTTTGTATCATAGGGATCAAGAGCTGGTGGCCTTCATGCAAGATCTGATTTCCTGGGATGTGATAGCTATCCATCCAATTGCTAACTTAAAGCCTCAAGAGGAGGATGACTAGCATCTTGGGAAAGAAGAATGAAAAACAGTCTAGTTGCGGGCATAGGCTTGGATTTTGGTTCTCTGTTTCCCATTTTGATTATAAAAAATATCCTTCCCCACAGAAACTGACCAAAATTTAATATCTTTGATAGTAAGAAACTCAAATGAATTTATTCTAGTTCAAGGAGAGTGGCCCATAAGAAGCTAGAAGAAAAAGGAGGTGCTGTGGTTGGCAAATTCTGCAATCAATGCTGAATTGAAGGCTTCAGAAAAAGATCCAGGGAAGACTCCAGCATTTTTCTAAGTGTGGAACAGAAGCAACAGGTTTTGTCTTCAAACATAGCTGTAATCATGGCTGGTGGATTTTAGGAGGAATTTTGTGGATCCAGCAATTTTATGACTGCCAGCAGTACATTGGTGTTAATTTAATTGCTTTTCTGTCAACTTGATTAACCCCCTTCCTTTGCTATTAATAAATCTATTTTTCCTTTCGAAGCAACCATCTCATAGTGTTTCCCCTGGCATCCAGTTGAAAGAAGGATTCTCCGTGATTCATACAGTCTTGCAGATAGATTGTTGTCAAGTACAGCTGGAATGTGTGACCATAGATTAGCAGGCACCCATTTCAGAATATTGCAGGGGTAATGGGCAAGCAAATAATTTGAACTGAAGCTCTGCTTTCTGTCTAATATTAAGCATGGTGCCAGTATTAAATAAAAATTAAACAAAAGATTTTGTATTTATGACCAAGTTGAACATGACCCAGTGGCAGGATTGACACTTGTTTTCATTCAATCTCACTCTCTTAATACTCTTTTACTTTTAATAGCTGCTTTGAATCCAGATGCTGCTAATGCTCATCTTCACTATGCCTAGAAAAAAATGCTTCAGATAAAAGCACTGTTAATGGTACAAGAAAGGACATGCCATCTTTTTCTGATCAGTTGGCAACTTTGCCCATCCCATTTTCCACGGATGGTGAATTCCCAGATAATCTGACATTCCCAAGGGAAATAAACAGTTCAGCTGGCTTTTCAGATTCAGGCTCTACCATCTCCAAAAACAAAAGGAGTATCAATAATGGATTTCTGCTTGAAAGACAGGAGAGTTGCAGTTAACCAGAGCAGACTATATTGGGCTAGATGGACAAACCATTTGAGTGAATATGTAAGACTACTACCAGTCCCTGAGATTCTGGATGGTGGACTGGTACTGTTTTTTTAGGCCACAAGTGGTGCAGACCTGGATTAGGCAACAATTTATCTTTTCAAGGCAGGGAGAGTAGTAATCCGTGTGTTTTAACATTTTGATTATTGTCATTGTTCAATATTGGTGTTGAAAGAAGTTAAGTTATACCTGCCATGAAATAATTAAACTACTGCAAAATACAGAGGAATTCTAAAACTCCTTATCTGGTTTAACAGAAATAAAGCTTTGTGTGTAATCATCAGTAAAATTGTAATGTTCATCCTCAGAACTTTTGTGTTTTGCACATGATTGCCCCTTCAGGTGTAGTTTGGAAGTGTTTAGAACAAGCAGCAGTCCATGAATGAATTTGGATTTATGACTAAATCTTCCATAGCAATTTAAAACTGTTGGGTCATAAATGACATGCAGAAGTTCCCTGGCTTGATCCCAAGCATCTCAACTTTAGAAGTTATGGGGATGATGGAAAAGAGATGGATTGGGGCCTTTACAAAAAATTTTCTAAATCTCTTTGCTACCATCCAGTGGATGTTTAGATCTTTAAGTTTAGATCTATGGCAGCCCTAGCCTGACTCAGATTTTGGGTATTCATTTTGATTATTTTGTTCAGATTGCACTGCTTGTATACCAAAACTCGTCTAAAATATCATACACATCCCTTATACAGCTAGTCCTCACTTAATGACCATTTGTGTAGCGACCGTTCGAAGTTACAATGGCGCTAAAAAGTGACTTATGACTGGTGCCCGAAGTTATGACAGTCACAGCACTCCCGCAGTCACATGATCTTGATCCAGGCGCTTGGCAAGGAGCTCGCACTTATGTTACAGCGTCCCATGGTCACACAATCACCATTTACGACCTTCCCAGCCAGCTTCTGGCAAGCAAAATGAATGGGGAACTGCATGATTCACTTAATGACTGCGGTGATTCACTTAACCATCGCAAAAATGGTCATAAAATTGGGTCTAGTCATGTAATGATTTGCTTAATGACCACATCACTTAGCAACCTAAACTGTGAAACATTCATGTGCAAAACTGTCCTGTCTGGCACTATCCTAATCCAAACACACATATATTCCACTTTTAATTCTCCTACTTGTAAGGATTGGGCTCCAGCAGCAGGGAGTAGAAGATAGCAACATTAGAATTACCAGTTCTACCTCTGAACAATATCTTCAGGATTGAATAATACATTGGTATCCAACAATAAACATACAAAATTATTTGAAAATATAATTTAAACATACAGTCCAGCAATCCTTTCCAAACAAGATTGTGTCACTTGCATGCCTACATAAATTATCTTATTTTTCTAATTTGTACACAGTACTTCTGCTTAGTAATCTGTTGTCTCTGATTTGCTCCCAAGGCATCAATAAATTGCTACAGGGCTATCTGAAGCTGATTATTAGGGAGTAAGCCCTACTGAGCATAAAGCAACTGGGTTCTGAATAAAAATGCATAGGATTTTGCTATTGGAACTGAATCCTGTGGTTTGCTGCAGGGGAAGCAAATTCTACCACTGCACTGTGGTAAGAAATCTGATAGCGTAATGTAAGAAGGCAGAGCTCCAGTAGGTGAGAACATCTGGCTAACATCTGCACCTGGAAACTTAGCAAGATCAGTCTGGATTGCTATTTGAAAGGGAGACCATCAGGAAATCCCAGAGCAGTAGGCTGGAGTGGGAAGCCAGCAAACTCCCAGAAGGCAAAAGACCAATTCCATAGTGTTTCCAAGAAAATTGCTTAGACTTGACTGGAAGGAGTTGACCGTTACAAGAGTCTTTCCTGATCATACCAAAGGCCCTTCTAGTCCATAGTTCTGCTCACACAGACAGCAACTAGTGGAAAGGGCATAAGCATGACATCAGAGCAATGGCACCTATCCATAATGACTAATAGTCACTCACTATTTCATACCACACTCATAGTAGACACTTGCGGCATTCCAATTGTTGTGGAAATACAACTTCCAACAGCCCTGCCTGATATAGCAGGTGCTGAAGAATGTTGAGACCCTTGGCTCAGCAACATTTGAAGCTGTGTAGGTTGCCTCCTCTTGCTGTAAACTATAGCCAATAATAGGGGCTAGGATCACAAAAGGCAAGGGAGCACTTTGGCATCACTATGGTTAGAAACAGACACCTGTGCTAGTAAGTCCAAGATAACAAATCATAGGCTGATATGATCTCATGGTTCACTCAACATGCTAAGGCATAACATGCTCTGTCTGGCTTTATCTTAGCCATTTGTAATATGGTTTATACTTTGTGTGTTGTTTGAATACAGCCACTAATAGCCTAATGTTCTATACATTTGCCCAGTCCCTTTTTAAGGCTGTCCAAAACTAACCCTGATCTATTTTCTCTGTGTTTTCATCACAGGGGATTTGCTCCAAGCCCCTTCACCATTCTGCTCACACTTTCTAGCACCTCCTTGGTGAAGTGTGGTGATCTGAATTTTACTCTCAGTTCTCAACACAGAATTGCACACTTGGGGGAGGATGGAACTTTCACTGAGAATACACATTCATTGATTTCTACAGTTCATTGTAGGCTGAAATGCAACAGATGAAACAATCTGTGTATTGAGTTCCAGTGAAGAGAAAACTTCACTTGCTTACCTGTCTATCTAAAGGCTGTAAAATGCTGGAAGAAAAAGAAGACACAAAATCTCCAAGGTTCAAAGTTCAGCAATTTTGATCCTTCCAAATTAATTGAGTGATTATGTGCCATCAAGTTGGTGTCAACTTTTAGCAACCACATAGATAGCTTTTCTCCATGATGATCTATCTCTAGCAATGGAGGCAATTATGTGTAGCTCAGGGT